GATGCCGAGATGATCTCGGTGAAGCCGAGGTAATCTCCGAAGCTATCGAATTCTGAGATAAGCGGATAAGGGATAAGAGTCCTAGAATAAAGAGGAGACTTAGCCAAGATAAGAATAAAGCTCTTAGGGAGTTTATCTTTATCTCTTGAGGAGTCCAAAGTAAGTACTAAACAGGAATCCATAGAAGTCAGGCTTTTATTGGGATTAAGATTGAGGTAACTATAAAAGAGAGGCACCCCCATGGGTCTGAGGTACACAATTTATATTTTGTCTAGTGAGATTAGCACTATTGATTATCTTTGAGAGAGATACTGACTTGATCGTTGGAGTATCCCCAGGTGGACAAATCACCGCCGGAATCTTCTCTTCTGTTACAGGTTAGCCAGGTGTCATCTATTCTGTCAGTGGTCTCCAGCTGAATACTGAGTTGGGCAGTGTGATCGGAAAATCACCCACACACCATTCTATATAAAGGTGAGTCCCTCGTGTGGACTCTACTTACGTGGGTCTTGCTGGTAATTCTAGAAAACCCAAAAAATAAAAATAAAAATAAAAATAAAAAAAATGCAAAAAATGTTTAGATCCTAAGACATTTACCTATAAATTCAAAACATTTTTTAAGAATTCAAAACACCTTTAAACTTTTTTACACTTTTTATCACACTTTTATTATTAACAAGTGTTAGTATTTGCCTAATATATATTGGGATGTTACTTATAAGTCCAATGAACAGGAATTATTTATTTATAAGTCTTGAAAATTTTATTTTTATTTTTTAAATTTATTTTTACGTATTGATCCTATGTTTTGATAATGATTTTTTTTTTTTAAAAATAAAATTAATTTTGTATCTGTAGATTGATCATTTTGTGCCAATAATTATATTGAGAAATATATAAAAGTGATGAATGATTAACATATTTTAATTTTTTTTTATGAGTTTTGATTTATTTTTTAATTTACTATTTATATTAACTTATATTGAAATAAGATTTAAAAATATAAATAATTGAATTATATATTTCAGAGATATTTTTATATTATTAATTACTAGTGTTTCACCTGTGCTATGTACGGGTTGTGTTTACAATTTAAATAATTGAATTATATATTTCAGAGATATTTTTATATTATCAACTACTAGTGTTCCACCTGTGCTATGTACGGGTTTTGTTTACAATTGTTTATATATATGTGAATTGTGATTTTTAATTTTTAATTTTTTTTTTTTGCTCACAAAACAAATGCAACATATCTTTAATTAATTATTTTCTGTTTGCTTTTATTCAAAATTTAAAAAATAATGTACGGGCAAAATTTATAATTAAATTAAGAAAAAATTTATTCCTAACAACATTTTTTTACTTCTATATAAATACTTAAAAAAATAAACCTAAAAAATTTAGTCAATATAAATATTATACATTAAGTAAAAAAAAATGGTTAGCAATTATTCTTACATAAATTTACTATAGTTTTAATTTCAAATTTAAAAAAAATAATTTAAAAGCATTTTATTTAGCTAATACCAAATAGAATTTTCTTAGCAAAAAGGAAAGTTATAAAATTTTGTTGCAAATTTCAAATGTCTATTGTTAAATATTTTATTCTACTTACTTGTTTGTTTGCTTGCTTGTTTTGACAGTTTTGATCTTTGATCTTTGCTCCGCATTCATCGTATTTATTTATTTTTCTTTTTCTTATTTGATTTTTGCATAATGCTTCTTTCATGGTGCATCTACGAGTGTATTAGTGAAAATATCATACACTTAAAATGCACAAAATTATGATATATAGAAAAAAAAGAAATAAGTAATTGTCCAAAACTAAAACTGCTTTAAGAAAAAACAAAAATGAAGTTGTTTGAAATAGAAAATGATTCATTTATTTATTTATTAATTTTCAAAAATAAACTTTTAAAGAAAACAAATAAAACTATATAAAAACAAAAAGTTCAGAAACCAAACATAAAATATAATATAAAAAATAAATGAATTATACGATTTTCAAGAAATGAGACTGACAAACAAATTTGATAAAATATTGTCTATTCATATACTTTTTGTGTATATTTTTGGTACTTCTAATCACTAGAATGACATTGAAATAGTTTGCACTTTTTGCATTAGGTCCATCTAATAGTTTTACCAAACATAGATGTAATAAATTTCATAATACAAAACGCAAGCAATTGTGAGACAAAGTATCTAAAAAAAAATGAAAGCAACGTTCAATGATAATGTAGAAGCACACTTGATGTTTTAATTAGAGATATAACCAGATAAATTGCCATAAAAGAAGACGACAACCATTATTTTTATCATAACAATTACATAACTTAATATATAATTTTAATGTCTCTGACTCTTCTATATGTCAAATTCTTTATCAATATTAGAATGAATGCATGAACCAAAAAAAGGAACATTTGAGAAAATAAAGAGATATGGTTTGAGATATTTTAATTGTTGAATTCTATTAATTAATAGTTATTAGGCTTCAATGGTCGGGTTTCTAATATTTGTTAGCCATTAAAGCTGAATTATTTGGTTTATTTATATTCATTTGATAATTTGAGAGTGGATAGGTATTAAGCCTTTTCAAAAATGCTTCGCTCATTTTTTGAGTATCATTAATGAAATGCACAGTGTAATTTTATTATTATTATTTTTTTGCAGTTGCAACTTGTTATTTTTTAATAAGAATTTATATTTGTTTTAGATATTTTTTTAATATACAAATTATTTTTTACAGTGTAATTTTTTCTCTCTTTTTTTTCTTTCTCAATTGCAACCTATTATTTTTTAATAAGAATTTATATTTGTTTTAGATATTTCTTTGATATAGAATTTTTTTTTATATAGATTTTAATGAAATGCACAATGTAATTTTTTTTATTTTTTTATTTTTTTTTTCACAATTGCAACATGTTATTTTTTAATAGAGTAAATTACAAATACACCTCCTAAGATTTGATTAAAATACGAATCGCCCCCTATGGTTTTAAAAATTACATTCCACCTTCTGAGATTTCTAATTTCATAACAAATCACCCATTTTATTAATAAATCATCAAGTTAATTAACAGTTTTTAATGATGTTAAAAATATGTTTCAATTAATAATTTGGATAATTTTATTATTATATAGAAGAGCAATTATGAATTTCATTTTTTTATTAATTCTGTCAAATAAAAAATTATAATAAGGAGATATTTGTAATTTTTCAAACCATAGGAGGTAATTTGTACTTTAAGCACACATCATGGGGTGTATTTGTAATTTACCCAATAATAAAAGTATGTAATTTAGAACAAGTCAATAATGGGCTCGTTTGGGAAATTGACTTTTTAGTTTTTTGGCTATTTTAGCCTGATTAAAAAAATTGTGTTTCGAAAGTTGGTTAGTTTTTTTGTAGTTGCTTTGATAATTATGAGAGAAAAAGTGAAATGATTATAGTTTGAATGTGATATTTTGTCTTATTGATTATTTTAACCTATTTTGTTTTTGTTGACTATTTGTGAAACCCCGTATTTTTATATAATAAAAAAAATAACAATAATATATATTTTTAATTTTCTTAAATAATTATTCATAATATTTTGAATTTAATAGTCTATATATTTTTATACTGACCATTTATTCAAAATAAAATAAAATAAAATATTTTTTTGACTTTATATTATTACTCAATATTACTTTCTGAACCTTATGATATTTAAAAAGTCAAAAAGATTTATTGATGGGGAAAATCAATAAATACTGATTTTTTTTTTAAATTAAAAAATTAAAATTAAGATATTTGGAGCTTTATGGTTAGAAATCCCATTACAGATGCCTTTTGAGCGGCATATGCCATAGACTTTTATGGTTTGTTTGGTTGATGAATTTGAGAAAGAATTTAGAAAAAAAAATGAAAAAGATAGGTAAAATATGAATAATATATATATATATTTCACTTAATTTTATATATTTTTTCCTTTTACCTTTTTAAATTCTATCTCAAATCTCTCAACCAATCACAGCCTTACTGGATTGGATTCTTTAATTTTATTTAGAAAAATGAGTCAGACCCCCTTTGTGGAGGACTCCACAACCCCTTTACTGATCTGAGTAATGCTAGAGACCCCAAATATTCTACCAAAAATTTTACTAAATGTCTCACATGGGTGTGGTACCCACACAATGTGGGTCCCATGTGGGTCCCGCACCCATGTGACACATTTGGTAAAACTTTTGATAAAATTTTTGAGACCTCTAGCATTTTTGTTACTGATCTACACCATTCATGATGTGTGGGGTCCACTCATATATGTGTGGGGTCCACTCATATATGTGTGGGATCCACATCATAAATGGTGTAGATCACAAAGGGGTTGTGGGGTCCTCTACAAAGGGATCTCTATCATTATTGTTTTATTTAACAGTATTTGCTTCGAAATTTGAGAAAGAATTTACGAAGAGAATGATAAACCGGATTTCACCTAGTTCCTTTTTCGTTTCCAAATTGTTCCCAAATCCGTCCGTCAATCAAAGTGTAAAGTCATGTTTGATTCACAACACTAATAGTGAGGTATTAATAATCCTATTAAATTAGTATGGTGTTAACTATTCCATCCCTACCCCATTACTAATAATCCTACAAATTTGTTGGATTAATTATCCATTGAATTAATAATCCTACACCAAAATGTCAAAACAAACATAGGATGATTGGGTCCACGGATTAATAATCCCAATCTTAGACTAATAGTGAAGTATTAATAATCCTATTAAATTAGTGTGGAATTCATTATCCAATTGGATTAATATCCATTGGATTAATAATCCTATCCCTACCCCATTACTAATAATCTTACAAATTTATTAGATTAATTATCCATTATATTAATAATCCTAAACTAAAATATTAAAACAAACATAAAATAATTGAGCCCATAATTAATTATTCCAATCTCATATTCTAATCCACCCAATCAAACGTGCCATAAAAGTACAGTCCACCACGCCACTGAGCTGAGTAGTGCAGTTGAGGATTCGCGTGTTTTGTTTTGTATTTCTGCTTCTGATCAACAAACGAAAAAGACGATCAAAAATTAATGGAAACCATGAGGCTTTCATCTTCTTTCACCAAATACTCTTCTCTCTCCTCCTATTCTTCTTTTTCTTCTTCCTCCTCTGCTCTCCTCCAAACCAAATCAAAGAATTTCATTTCCTTGAAAAGCGTATTCCCTGCGAATTCGATTCCCAATGGAAACCGAAATCTCACAATCGTCTCTGCTTCTAAAGCCGACGATGGACCTCAACAACAACAACACTCTCCTTTTTGGGTACTCTTCTCCCCTGTATTTTTTATTTGCGTTTTTCAATTTGATTTTGTGATCCTGAAAGTGAAATCCAAACTATATACGTTTTATGTGTTGTTTGGATGATAATTAAACATCAAGGTGAATCTATTCTTTCCATATGATAATTAAACTAGATACGATTGTGTGTTGTTTGTGTATTTCTGAAATTTAAGTCATTTTTCATAAGCACCTGCATCAAACAAGGCTAATCTGCTTTTCTTTTTCTTTTTTTTTTTTTGGTTAGATTTTTTTATGAGCTTTTATTTTTTGTTAATCCAAATCCCAAATTTTCTCAAATTTTGTCTTCACTGCCTATTTGAAAACCTGAATCTTTGAATTTTTTTATGTTCTTTGCCTAAATTTTCAGCCAAACTAGTACTAAGTATTAAAAAGGTTTTCTTTCCCCCCAGATTCCTAAGCTTGGCTAAATATTTTGACCAAATTTTATTTGTATAAAATACAAATCTCGATCAATCTTTAGGGGTGTTGGATAACTTAATTCACTACTTAAAACTGAATGGATTAAGTAAAAATCAATTAAATGGGTCTTATAATCACAATTCATTTTACCTAAGAAGTTAAGAAATATTTTTAAAATAAACTAAAATTTTAAGTGATAGGCTTCTTCTTAATATAAAATATTAAATGTTTAATCGATTATGTTTATGCCACTATTGAGGTGTAATGCCATCACCCCTCCACTGCCACCACTACCACCATTACCACTACCCCACCACAACCACAACCACCATCATTGCCACCCAATTGCAGCCACTACCGCCACCACAATCGCAACTGTTGCCACTTACCACCATCGCCACTATTACCACCACCACCACCACCTCCCCTCTACCACCATTCCTGCCACTACTTTGTAACCACCATCTTGTTGCCACCATTATCCTACCACTACTGTTGCTACCGTTACCATCACATAGCTATTATCACTATGTCACTACTGTTGCTACCGTTACCATCACATAGCTATTATCACATAGCTATTATCACTATGTCACTATGCCGGGTACACCGTATACGTACAGGATACGTCATATATGATTTGGGGAAGTTGGTTACGCGGTGGGTACTCCATGGGTACCCCACAACAACTGATTTTATTTTTTTATTTTTATTTTTTTCAGAAGTTGGAATTTGATGCAAGTCCACAACCTTATTTCTCTTTAATCATCAAAAAATTTGTATAATTTGGAACCACCAACTCTTTACACTATTATTGAGTAACTTTGCCCTCTTCCACTTATTGTTGTATAGTATTGTATTTGTATTGTTGAATATTGATTTATTTTGGGTTTTATAATTTCACTTTATAGCTATTGTTTTGAACTTTGATTTGTAGGTAGGATGTGTAGCTATAAATTTAATAAATAAATAAATATTTAACGTACCCTAGCCATACCCGTACCTTAATTTTTTTAGATTTTAGCGTATCAATATACCCGTATCATACTTGTACCCATATCCGTACCAACACCCATGCTTCATAGGTCACTACTAATCCACCACATAATATGAAGAGTGGAAGAGAAAATTAGTAATTTAATATAAATTTCAAATTTTAGCTTATGGTACATAATACATAGCAAACAACTTGATTAAATTTCAGTACATATCAAACCAATTTTGAGATTAAAAAATTCAATATTAAGTTTTCATTACTTAATTTCAGTTTTTAGTTTTATTAAACACCACTTGATCCCAGTTTAAGTTTCACCAACTTTATACATGAATTGGAGAATTTAAAATCAGTGTTTTCTAGTGATCAACTTGATATAGTTTTTCATTTCTTTGGAAGCAGTACTATTCAGGTATATGTGCAAATGATCAATAGTGCTCTCAATGCAGTCACCATAAGCATTAGTCAATAAACAATGCAACTTGGAAATGGAACAGTTTGTGGTTAGAATCTAAAAATATACATCCTAGGCTAGTCTAAATGATTTTTTTTTGAAGGCAATAACCTAACATTTGTACTAAGAATGAAACATTGATATACCATTACACCTCAAAATATATTAGTTGTATTTTAAGTTTTAAAAATTAAACATGTTTTCAATCTATACTTAGTTGCTTGTGATGATGTTATTGTTCTATTATTGTGGTATTGATAAAGTTCTTATGGATAATCCGTGTTTTTGCAGGGAGGTGAATCATTCTTTAGGAGTGTGTTGGCAAGTATGGAAAGTGTGTATTTAAATAAGAATCCCACTGCTAAAGCCATCTTGGAGCGTGTTCATTCAGTTGATAATAATCAAATATGCTATGATCATCTCGCGTTTAGGACATTTGGGGTATAATTGTTCTCATTTTTGTGCATTCTTTTAGTTAGGGTTAATTCTGTCTCATGTCGTGGTCTTTGTTTTTGTTAATTCACTGCACTGTTGTTATAATTCACCATATTGAAGACTTTTTAGAAAGCAAACAAATGTTAAACAATCATGTCGTCGTTATCATAAATGTATGTGCAAACATGTGTAAAGTATATATATATATTTCCTCTTTATCTATTCTTCACTTGTGCTTTTTCTCCAAAGTTCTGCCTTCAGTATGTAGGTCCCGTTCAATGCAGCTTCTTGCGAGCCAAAAGCTAATAATCTAAATACAGAACCTAAAAGCACTCCTTTCCTAGCTTTCCAATAATAACTTTTTAGTAAGCAATTTTGCCTCATAAGTTGTAAATGGAAGCTGCACCGAACATTCTGTCACAGTCACAGACTCCCAAAATGAAAACAACCGCAAGCACCCCCATAAGCTTCATCAAGCGGGGTCATAGTTTCCAATTCTATGGTTTTGTTAGGAGATATTGTTGTACATCTTTGATGTTTAATGTTCCCTTTACTCTCCTTTTACAGGTGAATGGTCATGGCATTGGTTCTATGGCAAACTTTTTTCTGGATTTTGGTTATACTCAACGGGAAGAGTTGAGATTTCCAGCGAAGAAGTTAAAAGCTCTGTGGTTTTCTCCTCCCAGCCTTCCAGTTTCTGATGGTGGCAGTGGTGTTAATGGTCCTTTGCCTAGAATATTTATATCAGAATTGCTTGTAGATCAAATGAGTCCTCAAGCTCAGGTTTATTGTTGAGACTTTTCTTGGTTAACTGATAGCTGAGTTTCATACTGTTGCTAAGTGCATAAGAGATAGTTCTGATAGACTCAGAATAATATGTGATTTTAATATTTTTTTTTGGTGTCATATTATATCTGTAAGTGAAGTTGGTCATATGATTATCTCTTTTATTTATTTATTTAGTAACAGTTTCAGTTTGGTAGAACTTGTTTTTTTGGATATTCATGTTGATTTGGGCAATGCTATTTGGTTTTTGTGAGTCCCTTGGAAACATTGAAGGAAGCTTTTCAGTCAAAAGAGGTTTGACCTACTTTTCTTTTGAGTTCTTACACTTGCACAATGAAGATGTTCTATGTCATGCATTGAAATGGGCAAAAAGCAACTGTTTTATGGTTTTAGTTTAATTTGGTATTGATGCCATCTGAATTAGGTTTTTGCTGAATACTAATTGTTTTTGACCAGTCAAATCTGATTATGATATATATTAATCGCTATCTGTCCAACCTATCTTTGTAGACTCATTGAACACGACTGTTGATCATAACTAAACCAAACTAATCATTTTGTCCCAATTATGTGGGGATGACAATTGATCATCAAGGGGTTTAAATATGCCAAACTTTTAGGTTGAAATGAATGATATCTATACTGTTGCTATGAAATGTGTCCATAGTTATATCTGTTGTGTGATGTAATATGAACCTTTATTGTTTTCTTGTCCATTCAAAATATAAGATAGATATGATTTATTTTATTATATTTTAAATAGGATTTTGTTATAGAGTGAGATCTGCTCTAGTTAGAATATCTTCCAATGGTCAACTATCTCTAGTGAGGTAAGCTATTGCTTGTCTAACTTAAGCAGATAACATTAAGATTGAGAGAGGTACAAAAGACTCTACTAGCCATCATATTTAATTTTCAGCTCATTGTAACCTCTATGGTCTTTCCTTGCTTTCATTTTTGTTACCTAATTGGTATGATGTAATCCTTTTCTCCTTTCAAGTGATCTTTTTTTTTTCCATGTACATTATACTTAATTGTTGCTTCCTACATGCAGGAAATAATTAGAAAATACACCGAAATATCAGGTCGCGGAAACAAACAAGCAGCTCTTGCAAGTGCACTGGGCTCTTTGACATGGGAAAAGCCCTTATATTCTGAATTCCAACAATTGGCTAGGTATATAATTTTCATTTATCTGTTGATGTGTGTCTACATGTTTATGTTAACAATTTTTTGTATATCTCCCAGTGGAAGGGATTCCAAAGTCAATAATCCAAAATTTCGTTACTTTGTTGTGGTTTTGTTCTGTCACTGGATTAGTTGCGTAAATTTAGTTTGGAACTTTATATTAGCAGGATTAATTATGACATCAGTCATTCTACAACTGTTACTGTTTAAACCAATCCAAGCCTTAAGTCCCATCAAATGGGGACAACTGTTACTGTTTGATTTATGTATTTTCAGGGAAAGTGAATATGCTGCCTGGACTCTTGTCAATGGTTATGCAGTTAATCATGTCACTATATCTACGCATCATCTGAAATCTCAATTGGGGAATATCAAAAGCGTCAACCAATTTATTGAGGAGAGTGGGTTCAAGTTGAACTCTGAAGGAGGTGTTCTAAAGGGTTTGTGATAAATAACTTCTTACTTGCCTCCAACTTATTTTGTTGCTATTCAATCTTGATACAGAGTTATACTTATAATATATATATATATATATTTGTCTCTACTGCAGGTAAATCCCAATAATATAATGCTAGTTGTTGGTATCTGTATCTAGTCGTTTAGTTGATGCAACAGTAAATCTTCATCATGTGGCATGATGGCAGCAACTAAATAGGATATCAAGGGCTCTTCTAAACAAAAGCTTTATTAATATCAAATGAAGATAACCACATGTGCATGATAATGTTGTTCTATCTCCTGTTTTTGAGGATAAGAATCAAGGCTTCACTTGGGAAAAGTAGATTTGGAAATTGGTTTTGTGACTTGCTTGACTGTAATTGATTCAGTTTCCAGAACTGTGAGTGTCAAATATTTTGAGATGATTAAAAATTCTTGAGGGAGATCTCAAATAATTTTCTCTCTCTAGGATAGACTCACTTATTACTGTGATACCTGACATCTAATGTGGATTGGAAGTGTTTTATGTAAGATTATGCTCATTGGTTACACATTTGGTGGGTTTTTTCTTTTTTGGACAACAATAATGTTTCTGCAAGATCTGAAATGATTTGTGTAATCCTTTTTGGTTCTTTTCATCATGAACAACTATTTTTGAACTTGAATAAATGTGATGGTTTCCATAGAAAGCGTGAAGTTTCCTGCTGATATTTTGAGCTAACTTTTCTTGACAGGGGATAAATCTAGTAGTTTGTGTTATTTACTCATTTCTAATCATGCCCATATCAATTTTTTTTTTTAATTTTTACGACATCATATATTTTTTCCCCTTAATTTGGTTCTTTTGAGTATGGTGCTGATAGCTTACAACTTTATATTTCTTTTATTGTTAGTGAGCCCTGATGGAATGCTGCTGCAAAGTTCGACCGTGGCAGATTCAGTCTCGTTCTGTTTTTCTGATGGCATCACAGAGTCTGTCCCTTGTTCATACATTGAGTTCGCTGAGCGCCTCATACTACCACAGTTCAAGAATTTACCCGAAAAAGAGGTTAGCGACTCTTCATTTTTAAAAGACAATTCTACTCAATTCAAGGTTACATATTATCCCACATGTATAATAATGGTGCATTCTTCTTGGTATTAACCTCATGAAACTGTCATTAATCAAGATATTCAATCGATATCCTTTGGAACTTTGCTTAGTACTCTAATCCTTGTTAGACTTGTTTGCGTATTTGTTTACGCCATAATATAATGTTTGCATATGTTTTGTATTTATGTTGTACTATTTTTAATTGCTTGCGTTGTCAACTTGCATAGGTGAGGGAGTTCCATAGGCGAGATGGATTTGAGGTTGGAAGCGCTGACAAGATATTTGAGAGCACGTCGAAGGAACAGTTGACCAGAAGAGCTTGATGAGAGAGAGAGAAGTTAAATCATTTGGCAAAATTAAGAGGAACATGTAAGTATCGTTCATTATATTTAGTCAGACGATGTAAACAAGTGGTTTTATAAACTGTGATGTGTGAATAAAATGTAAGGAATAACGAACTTAAGATTCTAGTAATCTTTGGATTGTTTCAGATGTGCATGTGTTTACATTTCATTTCATTGTATAAGATACGGCTAATAAGATATTACTAAAAAATTATGTTTAGATGACAAATCAAAGGGAAAGAATGAAAATCTCATTATTAGGAATCTCACTCATTTACTAATAATAAAATGAATGTGTCAATATTATTAAAGCGTTTTGTTTCATTATTATTATGTTCTTTATTTATGAAAAAATTATGGAAGTTTTAAATAGTATGGAAGTTTTAGATCCTCCAATGCAAACAATTAAACACAATGTTGTTGTTTGGTAACGTTTACGTTTTCAGTTTATATTTACAAAAATTTTATAAACTGGTTTTTGTTTATTTTTTGTTTATTTTTAGAAAAACAGTGTTTACATTTCATTTCATTGTATAAGATACGGCTAATAAGATATTACTAAAAAATTATGTTTAGATGACAAATCAAAGGGAAAGAATGAAAATCTCATTATTAGGAATCTCACTCATTTACTAATAATAAAATGAATGTGTCAATATTATTAAAGCGTTTTGTTTCATTATTATTATGTTCTTTTTTTATGAAAAAATTATGGAAGTTTTAGATAGTATGGAAGTTTTAGATCCTCCAATGCAAACAATTAAACACAATGTTGAGTCTCATATGAAATGCTATATAACTTGTGAATTTTGTTTGGAAACACTAGCTCTTTTAATAATATTTCTTCTGAATTATTTCTTTTTATTCATTTGTAGTGGACTTTTTTCTAAAATGCTTTAATTTTTTTTTAAAAAATAAATAGAAATTTATAAAATTCACCAAAGATAAATAAATGAGATTTTTAATTTAAGATTCTTGATATTAAGATTTTATTAGATAAAAGATATGTAATATTTTCATAAGAGTTGGAGTCTCTTAACATTTTTATAGAGAAATTTCTAACTCTTCACAGAGAAATTTCTTTTTTCACAGAGAAATTTCAGCTCTTTAAAGAGAAGTTGACGGGCTAAAATTTCTCAGTGACAACCTAGAATTTCTCTAATCCTATTATTGAGGGACTTCAATTAATAAGAAAAAATATATTGTATATCTTCTACTATCCAAAGTTGGAGAGAGATATTTCACTATTTTTTCCTAAATAAATTGATTTAAGCAGTGTTCATCTTATGTGATTTTGTTCATTAATTTCTAGGGATTTTAGTATCAAAAGTCTTTAAAATAATTTTTTTTTTAAATTGTCAAAAAATTTAAAAAATCTATCAATTTTGTTTTATAAAGAAATTACTGTTTCATATCTATGCAAAACTAAAGCAGATAAATCAGATTTTACACCTAAAATTAAATTTAAAAGCATAGGTAAACTAGTTAATTTGAATCAATATATATGTGGTAGTGATGAATTTTTTAAGTAATTACCATTACCAATTTTATGTTGGAGGGACCAAATTAAAAAAAAGTAATGTTAGAGATCCCAAATAATTTATCAATTTTTTTATCAAACTTTTCATATGGGTAAAAAATTTGAGAGGTTTGATAAAAAAAACTTGATAGATTATTTGGGGTCTATAGCATTTTCCAATTAAAATATAAAATTTTGTGAATTCAACAAATAATAAATGTAAATAAAGTACATTTGTAACCCTTGCACAATTATAAAAGTCATATATTACTTTGTCATTCAATAAATTTATAGACAATTTATCTCACATGAACCATAAATAAAAAAAACCAAAGAATCAAACAAGACAAAAAATATAAATACACGTAGAAAAATGCTTCGGACCCCCACTGGGAGTCGACCCCTAGTGAGGTGGCGCACCGTGATTGGACAAAAAAAAACTGTTTTATTTTATTTTATTTTATTTTTGAGTTTCAGCCAGTGGGGGCTCGCCACCTCACTGGGGGTCTGCAGCATAGTTGATACACGTATATGATGGGAAAAAATTATCACGGTCATCCCGGAAATGATGTAATTATATAAAAAATATAATTTTTTAATCACAAAAATTATATCTTTTTATTATGAAAAAATTAGTGAAACATTCCCAACTTTGGGTAGTAGGAGATCCAATATATTTTTTCTTATTAGTTAGGCCTCGTTTGGCAAGTGCCCTTTTTATTCAAAGAGTCAAAAAGTTACTAAAAAAAATTAAAAAGCCAACAACTCATACCAAAAAGTCAAAGATAATTTTCTCTCTACTTTTTACACATCTTTTCGTAAAAAGCCAAAAAATCATCCAAAACATACTAGTTTTTTTTACATCACATTTTAATCAAAAAGCCAAAAAGTTACTAAAAAAGCATGTTCCCAAATGAGGCCTTAAGCTCCCTCAATATTGTTATTAGAGAAATATCAGTGTGAAGAGTTAGAAATTTCTCTCTGTGAAAATGTTGAAAGACCCCAACTACTATGAAAATATTATATGTTATTTATCTTGTAAAATCTTAATATTAATAACCTTAAACTAAAATCCCCTTTTACTATTCACAAAAGTAAAACTTTTATCATAAAAAAATATAATTTTAAGGGCAAATTACACAAATAGTCCCTGTACATTATCCCGTGTGTCATTTTGGACCCTGACATTTAAAATTGCTCGATTTAGCCTCTCAATTTAACGAAGTATGTCAATTTCGTCCAATAATTGATGCACGTTTGAAATTATGAATGGAAAGCCATCGCCTGCCTCTCACGTGCTCCCTCTAGCAATTACTGAGGGACACACTCGTTTTTTCACTTCAAACCCTAGGTTACCTCTATCGTCCCTCTACTTGTATCTTCCCTAAATCAGCAAGTCCATTCTCTCTCTACACAATCGAATCGTTTCTAGGGTCTTGAGTTACCAAAAAATTATTTGATTGTAAATCTGCTGACATTGGTGTCGATAGAGAAGAAAACGATTGACGAGATGAAAAGATGAACATGGCAATTGTAAGGATTGGTGATGAAATACTAGATTATGGTAAGTAAAAAAGTACTATTACCCTTTTTTTTTTTTGTATTTTGCTTTATTTTATCTGTGTGCAAGTTGAATCAGTGGACGGGTCAAAGAATCTACTTTTGCTTCGCTTTGTTTAAAAGTGACGAGATGAATATATGTTTATATATTCACACATGTCGACACATCTACACAACTGCACACTGACAAAAAAACAAATCAATATCTACAATTTATGGATATATAATGTGTTGTGGTCCCCCTTGTCCTGTATTGTGGATCATACAATAAATATGTTATCTTCTATTTCAGATCCAGATGGTGATTATTTCAGTATCAAACTGCATCATGGTGGGGTTTTTAAGTCTTTAGTAAATATGGCTTATGTAGGGGGGAAATCATCATTTTGGGACAATTATGATGCTGACAAAATGAGGTTGACAGAGATAGGGGATATGACTTAAAAGTTAGGTTATACTGAATTCATTTCATACCATTATCAAAGGCCACTTAGGAATGATAGTGATGTAATGGATATGGAGAAATGGGTGCATGTAAGTAGGATAATTGAAGTGTATTTAGAGCACATCCCTGATGATTAGTTGCTTGACCTTGAAGAGTTTAATCCCTTTCACCAGCATCAATTGTCATTGAGGAAATTGGAAGTGGCACAAGTAATGTGGAGGGTGAGGGTTAGGTTGAAGTTGAAGTTGAAAGACAGAGTTATGATTCATCAAACTATTCTATAGATCTAGAGGATTTTGAGGATAGTGACTATGATTTCAATGAGGATGACATACTATTTGATGCTAATGTTGATAGGAATGTTGAATGGGGTGGGTTAAGGAGGCAGAAACATAATGATGAAAGGGTTAAGGTACCTCATATTGACTGCCTAGAGCTGGATGTTACATCTGATGACCTCAAGAGCATTAATGGATCTTCTGATGAAGAGGCTGGAAGCAACATGGTTAGATACCCAGAGTTTATTCCAAACACAGACATAGCAGACCCACAATTCAAGGTTGGCATGGTTTTTGGCACTGCCAAAATATTCAAAGCTGCTGTTAAGGAGCATGGTATTTAGACTGAGAAGGCTGTTAAGTTAGTAAAAAATGATAGTATGAGAGTTAGGGTCATCTGTAAGCCACCATGTGAGTGGATGCTTTATGCATTCAAGATGCAAGGACAACCATCATTCCAGATAAAGACATATGTTCCCATTCACGATTGAGGCAGAATTTTTTATAATAGACAAGTGAATTCGACCTGGCTGTCTAAGAAGTACTTGGAGACATTAAAGTCCAATCCATCTAATCCAACGCAGTCATTCAAGCAAGTTGTGCAAGGATCACAAGGTTGGGATATCCAAGAACCAAGTGATAGGACAAAGAGAAAAGCGCAAGAATTGATAGAGGGAAGCCTCATGGAACAATATGCTAAGTTATGGAATATGTAACGTTCCAAAATAAATATAACAAACCCATCTCATAAGTGAAAATATAATTGAATTAACATGCCTTCATTCATCAGAGTTGATACACATGAAAGACAAATACAAGAATGAATGAAAGTTACACAGATAATCATTTGCCTTAATGGCTTATATCTTTCCAAGTCGTTACTTGGTTATAACAAAAATGAACCTAGCTCAACACAATTTAAAACCCTTGGCTATACAAAAATAGACACAACAAAATAGAAACTCTTGCTCCAAATCCCTCCAAGCTACTGCCTTGGCAGAGGCATATCACCAATACCTGAAAATAGTTTTTTCCAAATAGGGTGAGCCAAAGCCCAGTAGAAACAATCTAACACAATATATGAGTCTTAACAAAGATATAAGTAAGATATGCACATACAATGCCCGTGGTAAAATCACTCATATTTCACAAAATCATAATATGCCAAATTCTATATCCCAATCCTTGTTATCTCAATTCCATTCATGTCAATTCATTTTTCCTCAATTCATAAGCCATGTTCATTATTACCCAAAAAATCCAACTGAGACTACAACTCAGTGGTTCTCTAACATATAACCACCATGTAAACACTTCAATTTGCCATTTTACAGAAATTTTGTTCGCAGGATCGACACCTATATATACGTACGGTTT